TTCCATGCTGTTTTTTTCTCTTCTGTGTGAGGGTTCCTTAGTGCTTGATATTTGAGGGTGTGAGAGATAGGGGGAGCACGTTCCTTTCTCCACCATGGGGTTTGATTTCTGGGAAACTCTCTCATAACATCAGCTGTCAGCTTGTAGTAACTTTTCAGGTCTGTGTTTGGAGTTTTGTCTCTTTGTCCAGCGACAGGTTCTAACAATTGCTCTTAAACACTTCTTTTCTGATATTGGACAGGACTGAAATTGAGCTTTATCTAAGTATCTAGGCAGTACTCAAATCCTGCTACTTTGTTTTTGTATACGCAGCTAAATCACACCCAGCCGTTGTGATATGTTGTCTACTTCTGACTTCCTTGATAACAATATCTCCTTCCTCCAGTCTTTATGATGTGCTCGAGAGGTCCTTCCCCACTCTGAGCCTGACTCCCTTCTTTTATACCATTCCATGCAGGCCTGGCATTTGCTTCAAGGATACCAGGGCAGAGCCAACCCAGCAGCTCTTTAATCCCTTCCTCTGCAGGGGTAGCCAGTCCACACCATCACAGTGAAGATAGGATGGAGAATCAGGTGGAGAGTTTCTGAGGTTACCCCTAGATATGAGAGAGCAAGAGAGCATTTGTGTGCCAACTCTGCCTACAGATAATTTAGAAGCAATATTGAACTGTTACATTTTTTCAGAGATAAAGCGATTGTCTTTGATTTATATAATCACGTTATTTCTTTAATACTTTGTAATGCAATAAAACACTTTTAATTGAGATATATCATTATATCTAGGTGTATTAGCCTGTGTTGTGGAAAGTATGGGGAAAATGTATGCTATTTTTGTATCTAGTTCATGTATATCAATTCTGTTTAAAAAAGGCACTTAAAATAACTTCCTTAAATCTTATATGTTAATTAATAATTTTATTATTTCCTGCTTCTCCAGCATATGGCTAAAACTGTATGGGTCATATTGTAAAATAGTAAAATAGATGATTAAACTAGTCATCTATTCTTAATATAAAAAAGGTTTACAATGTCAAATTTCTACAGAACAAAATTACTATTTTGGAATAGATCTTTTAAAAAGAAAATGTAGAAAGTGAATAGGTGCCATAAGTAGTACTTTTTTTTCCCTTTAAATTAATATCTGTCTTTAGTTTATTGGGAAGTATAGTGAGCATATTGATGTCTAGCGGCAGCCTGGATGTCTGTTTACAAAATCAACCAAGGCAATGCTGTGTAGGCAGAAGAGAGAAGCTTTCTTTACAACACATCATCAGTACAAGCTTTTGGTTGGGAGAAGTTGTCTTAGCAAGATAAAGTGTATGCAAATTTATAAAAAAAAAAATGCATAACTTACTGTTTAGACTTTAGCTGTCTAAAATTGCAATATCATCATCATCATGGTCTTTTCGGTTAATGGTAGGAACAGTCCACCATGACTGAAATAATTTATTAAATGGCATTAAATCAAAAGTAATTATAAGAAGGCAAGGTTTACATATTTTTAGTGGACAGGATGTAATGAACACTTTTTCCCCCTCCCCCCCAATTTTTAAAATTTAAAAGGCCAAAGTGGAATTATAAAGAGGTAATTTGGTTTGAACTTTGTGATAATTTCTGTTTTAATTTTTTACCAATAGGATTCTTCACAGATACTTTATATAAGTCTGTCCCTTTTTAGTGCTTGTTGTGGTTTTTGTTAGGGTGGATTTAATTTAAAGCAAAATGGTTTAAATCACAATTTAAATCACTGGGCAGGAAGCCTTGATTTAATCATTGTTTTCTACAAAAAAGTGCATTCTTGTTGTTTGATATCCTTTATTTGTTTAACTTCTTGAAACTTTGCACTTTGAAAGAGGTAAGGGCTTGACTGTGTACACAAACTTGCAGAGAGACAATAGGCTGGTGGGTAGGTAATTGGGTCTGTTATTTCTCATCTCCAGGTAGTGCTATTAACAAGGATGTTATCTCTGGAGCTGACGAACTCTCCCTTGTGCTCGAAAGCTTGCACATTTTTTTTTCACCAACTATTTATTTGGTCTAATAATATATATCACATCTACTCAAAGCACCTTGTCTGTCTGTGATCTCTGGAGACATAAATCCACAGTTTGAGCGCTGAAACTTAAGCATCACAGAGATGCTTAATGCGATCTTCTAGACTGAGCACTGAGTCCCACTGGATAGAGTGGTTTTCTTTAATCTTTACTAAACTATAGAGGGACCTCTTGGACCCCCATAAGATTGGGCTTCTAATATAGTCCATGGCCTGCTGTGAACTATTTATAAACTTCTAAAAAAGGTTACATGAATATATTTTCTCAAATATACTATATAATGAAAAACTATAATTCCTATTCCATGATGATATCTTTTTGCCTTAACATACCTTAATTTAAAACCATCTTTATATATTTCTTTTTTTAAAAAAGTATCTTAACAAAAAAATAGAATAAAATAAAAATTCTGATTTAAATAAATCTGAGTTTTGGAGTGTTGTTTTTTTTTTTAAATAATTGATTTTTATCCACCCTGTTTTTGTGTTAAGCTGAAGTTGTTCACTTCCATAGATGGTCCTACTTACCCGCCATTCTTTGGGATTCTATGCCATATACCAGACTTTTCTGACTACCATCTGAGGGCAGGGGATGACATTTCATTTTGGTAATGTGAAGAAGGAATTAAATACTACAGTGAGTAGGTGGAAGGACTGGAAGAGGCTGGGGAGGGGGCCTGGAAAGAAGATAAGGTGGGCAGCAAAAGAAGCCTGAATTTGTAGGAGGAAGGGTGTAAGTGAATTTGAGTCATGGTGGGAGCTAAGCAGGAGGTTGTGGATTTTAGGGAATTTGATTACTAGAAAGAGCAGGTTTTAAATTTATTCCTCTTTTGTGCAACTGTCCACGAACCTTGATGTAGTAGTAGACAGGGTCATTTTATGATTACTTTCATGTGCTTTTGAATACATCCCTGAAAGTTTGTTACCCCCCTCAAATGATCTTTACAGGACATTATGTAGTACAGAAGTGAGGGATGTATAATTGGGTCTTGAAAAAAATCATCTGGCCAACAATCAATACCAGATTTCTCCTTCAACTGAAGGGACTTGTTTACCAGAATCTGTGGAGTCATTTAACCTATTTTAAAAACTATACTTCTTGCCCTTATGAAGGCAAACAGTGCATTCAAAATATGAAGTTAATATAGGGTTGTAGACCGGAATGAGAATTTATTCCTTGGTAGTTTCTATACAAACATATAAAAAAAGATTGTCTACCCAGAAGGGTTTAAAGTCCAATTTATGCAAGACTCCTATAAAGAAATCCCTCCCCATCCAAGGGTTGGAACAGATGAGGAAGGGACCAGACAATTTTCAAAGAGACTTTTATAGTCTTAGAACATCAAGGCTGTGTAGCTCAATAGATTTTTTTTTTTTTTAATGGAACTATGCCTGCTTATTTTACATAAGGATTTGGCCTCTGTGCACAATTTAATGATTTCAAGTAAAGCTCTGTATCTGTTATTTATTAATAATAAAAGACAAAAATCCCCTATAGGCCAGCAGCCATTAAAATGATCAAGTCTCTGCTGCTAATCTGGCCATCTGGTACCTTGTGCTAGGTCTCTAGATCATTCAGAGCCTGAAGCTGGTACCACAAGTTGCGAACTACTTTTTTAGTGAAATTGGATGATGGATAAAAGTGTAGATCAACTAGCCAGGATTTTAATGAATCCAGTTTCTACTGTACCATATGACTGTCAAGTAGAAAACCCATTGCCTACAGTTAAGAAGTCAGTTGTGGGGGGAAAAAGGTGTTCTGAGTAAGTCCAGTGATTTGACCTCAACAGTATGGAATAGCTTTTAATTATTCCTTCTTTCAAAATTTATTCTAAAGACATGGTGGTGGTGTGGATAAAATATAGCACAGGTTTGCCAAAGGTAGTATCAGGTTACTAGCGAATTGTCCATCAAGAATGATTTGGGGGAAAGGGGTGGTGGGCGGGGGTGGAGCCCCACCACCCTGCGCCACTGCTGCCCTGGGCGGGGAAGCTTACACCATGCTGCTGCCACTCTGCATCCAGCTGCATGCCACCCCCCCGCCCGGCTCCGCATCCAGCGGACTAAGCCCTTTGTATATATAGGCTTCAGTAGTGCAGAGACCCCCGGTGGTTACAGTGGATTATAAACAGAAAATGAGTCAACAGCATACTCCAAGGAACAATGGTCACAAACTGACAGAGAGCAGATTTAGGCTAGATATCAGGAAGAACTTCTTCACAGCAAGGGTGGCCAAAATTTGGAATGGGCTCCCAAGGGAGGTGGTGCTCTTTCCTACCTTATCTGTGAGGTCCCTTCCAACCCTAGCACCTATGAATCTTGTTGCCAAAAAAAGCCAAGGGTATACTGGGTTGTGTTAACAGGAGAATTGCTTCCAAATTGATGGAAGTGATCCTTCTGCTCTGTTCAGTGCTAGTGAGGCCTCACTTGGAGTACTGGGCCCAGTTTTGGGACCCATGCTTCAAGAAGGATGTTGGACTGGTTTGAAAAGAATTCTACACGGTGTGACAAAAATGATTTTTGGCTTGGGAAGCATGACTTGGGTTCTTTAGTTTGGAGAGTTAGAAGACTGAGCAAATATTTGATAAGTTTTCAAATGCTTGATGAATAATTTATAGAAAGAATGGAGATTAGCTTTATCTCTGTGGCCGTAGGAGACAGGACAAGGAGAAATAGCTTCACACTGTAACAGAGGAAATTTTAGGTGGCAGATAAAGAAGACCTTTTCTGATTATGAGGGTGGCCAAGCATTGGAACAGACTACCTAAAGAAGTTGTGGCATCTCTTATCTCTGGATGTTTTCAAAAGCAGGTTGGATAGGTTTTGACTGGGCTGGTTTAGTTGTGTGTTCGTGCCCTGCTTTCCTATGATCCTTATTTATATCTATTAGTAAATATTCATTGACGGTATCTTATTTTCTTCTCATGAAATGCTTTTTCTTTAACAGAAGAGTTACGGAAGTTGAGTTGGTCTGGAATTCCCAAACAAGTTCGTCCAATCACATGGAAGCTCCTCTCAGTAAGTGTTCTGCTTATGTGTAGCAATAATAGCTTTCTTTTATAGTTCAGCACTGGTATTCCAAAGTACTGTGTTCTCTGCTGTTAAAGCTCAGTAACAAGTTAATCCTGTTCTTCGTTCTATTTCAAGCTTAGTTTATCACATGTGAAAGAAAAATTGGGAATAAGTACTTTAAAATGAAGACACAGTTTTCCTTATTAATGTTGGCATTAAAAATCATATTAGTGCCCTTCAAGAAGAGAAATTTCTTTCAATTGTAAGAATGTCTGATAGCAACATTTTAACTAGAAAGTCTGTCATTTATAAATATGTGTTTTTTTTTTTTTTTTTAACTATTGTCTGTTTTTGAACACTGGGGGAAAAAGTTAAAAAGCCACTTGACTGAAAGAAACCAAATTGCTTATATTGTGCATACTCTAGAGAATGTGGAAGAGACTTTATCAGCAAATCTTCCTGCATTTAAGCACTGTTTAATATTCTGAACTATGCACACAACAGTTTAGCACTATTGAATTTTTCAGAGAGAAAGCTTAGACAGCTTTCCTTTTTTTAGAACGAATCAACAGGGAATACTAAGTGTTTACTTCAGATTGGGCCTGATTTTCAGTGTTTGGAAGAGTATGTCTCTTGTTAATGAGTTCTAATAAATTTGCAGCTTGGTGCTTTCTAATCTTAAAATGCAGATGCAGCTTTTAATTGTGAGTATTTAGGTATTCTCTTACAATTAAAATTAAGCATGCATTATTCTTTTTTCAGTTTTTAAAAATTTCAGTTTGATCTTTGAGCTGGGTAATGGAGGAAATGTAAACTTTTTTTTTTTACTTTTGAGGACATGTCTGCATTGAGGCACTCAGGAAAGTTGGTTTGAATCAAGTAAATTTTGAATTTCATGTGAATTTAGATCTTTGTGTTTATACTCTAATTCAGAACTAAAGTAGCCATACTTTGCTTCTAACTGAATTTCTGTGGCGGATGCTGAAGCTACCTAAGGTGACTTTTGTTCCTATTTGAGTATCTACAAAGGGATATAATGCTTTTTAAATTCACACCTTCAGTTAATTTATCTTAACTTTCCTGTTAACTTTCGTTGTTTAAAAAAAAAAAAAAAAAATATATATATATAAAAAAAAGTCATAAATGGCTTGTAAAACTCCTCTATTTCACTGACCATACAAATTAAGACCAATTTCTTTTCGAACAGCCCTTGTACTTGACTCCCTCCTTGTATTAAGTTTTTGGGTGGTGGGAACTTTTAAAAACTATTTGTCGACTTCTAATAGCAAGGTAAAATTTGCTTGGGTTCCATTTCTTTGAATAGGTGTTAAAAAGGTGGTTTTGAAGATGGCCAGACTTACTTTCCTTGGGAGAGGGGTGGAATTTCAGCATTCATGCTGAGGCTGGTTTTTTGGGGCTGGAGTAGGACTTCGTGGCATCCATTTCAGTAGGCTATCCCAGGTGGTAACTGGGCTGAAGCAGGGCATGCACAGGACCTAATGTTTTGCACCTGCCTAGATTTTGGGGCTCTGACTATCAGGGATGTTGTCAAGAAACTGTATCATTGTTAGACCTACTACTTTGTAGAGGTGCAGATGTCTGTCTTCCTTTGCCCTGGGTGGGATGATGGATCAGTTAGGCTGTTTCCCCAGAGACCTGAATCCAGTAGGTCTCTCCAAAAATGCTGGGAGTAATTTCCATGGACTTTGATGATTACTCTGGCCTGGTTGATCTATGGAATATCATACTGACCCTGGTCATAGACGTGGTGGCACTCAGGCATCCATTCCCACTGCTGCAGCGGCTCAGGGTTCCCCTGGTGTATGGAGTTGTAGTAGGATAACTGCAGCTGAAGTAGGCACCTGGAGTGCTACTCAACCTGTGCTGAAACCAACCAGTTGCAGTATAGGTTTTTTTTTCCTGTTTTTTTTTTTTTAAGGACTATGATGTGTCACTGGCATAGAAGCTTTTCTCCACTGGTATTACATCTACAAAGTGTTATCTAGCAGAACTGTTTTAAGTGGTGAATGGCCTGTTAATTCAGCTCATCTGCCTGGAAATGGAGTGTTCTTCAGCCGGCTGTGACAAACGTGCCACCTGCTTTGCAGATCTTGTGGCCTTGGTTGATTTATCACTGCTTGGAGACTGACAGGAAATTGTGACCTACTTACCTTACTCAATCCCTCACTGGCCTTTGATAAAGTTGACAACGAGGTACTGATAAATGGCGGATATTCATGGGACAGCTCTAAACAGTTCCACACTTTTCTAGCAGGGAAGACCCCTTTCCTGTGGGGTTCTCCAGGGCTCCATATTGCCACCTCTCCTGTACAGTTGGTATGAGGTGGCTGGGTGAGATTGTGCAGAGATATGGAGTGAGGTGCCTTCAGTATGCTGGTGACACTCAGTTCAACTTCTCCTTGTCTTCTGACCCTGGTGCAGCAGTCTAAGTCCCTTCCTAGTGTCTGGCTGCAGTTGGGGACTGCATGTGGGGAGAACCAATTGAAATTGAAACTAGACATGACAAGGGAGATGATGTGGGGTGGAGAAACACATCACTTGGCATTAGAATGCCTGTCATTGGTAGGGTTCTGCCTCCACTTAACACAGGTTTGCAGATTTGTGGTGTGCCTGGAGCCTCTGCTGCACTTGAATCTTTAGGTAGCAGCCATGGTTAGCAGTACCTTTCACCAACTGCAGCCTGGTGAGACGCTGGTGACTGTTTCTTTAGGACTCTGATCTGTTCACAATCATCTATGCTTTCATAATCTCAAGGCTAGACTACTGCAATGCTGTAGTCCAGGAAACTGATGACATCCAGATGCTTCTGGAGCCTGAGTCTCACCCAGCTGTCGGGGACAAGCTGGGATGGACACAAGTTCAGTTCACAGCCAGTCACACTCGTTCCTCCAAGTACAACCTCTGCATCAGCAGGTGACATCAATTTCTATATAGAGCTGCCCTTGAAAATTGTCTGGAAGCTGCATGTGGTACAGAACATGGTGCAGCGGTGGAGGCCTGCTTTATGATGAGAGATTCACTTGTCAGGAACACATAACTTACGCAGACTCTGGAGCACAGGTCCCAGATCGCTTTCTAGGTAGAATTCAAGGAGTTGGTTTTGACCAATAAGGCCCCAAATGGTCTGGGTTTTATGCACCTAAAGGACCATCTTCTCCCGTATGTCCCTGTGCGGTCACTAAGACTGAAAACAATTTCCTACAGGTGCCACCAGTAGGCAAGTCTGTTTGGCAAAAGACACATGGGAGGTTATTCTTGCACCATGAAGTGGCAAAACAACTGCAAAGATATATTCCAGATTAAATGTGAAACATCTTTGTGGCTGTTAATGGATGGCGCTTTAAATTGAACATGTGACAGGAGAGCCAGTGGGCAACAACTTAAAGCTGGCAGGCAAGCTTAAGGCTTGTTAGCTCCCCTGTCCAACACCTGTAAATCCATGTGTGGGATATGTCAGTGCTGAGCTGCACCACATATGCCTTTCAACTTCCCAGGCCGAGGAAGGCTGGGATCATAATTCTTGGCTCCATGTGCACTGGCAATTTGAAAGGGCACTGCAGGAAGTGGCATTGGGGACCAGCCCCTGATGCTGGGATCCCTGTGCTGACAATTTTGTGATTAGGCTCTGTCAGATTTTATCCTTGATCCCTGAAATTTTGCTCCCTGCCATGCATGTGTGGCATGGCTGGACAAACAATGTTTGGGATTCGGGATCCAATCTTAATGCACCATTAAATTAACATCTGTCAGCACCCTAAATTGCCACCCTGCCCTACCTTCTTCCTGATTTCAGACTAATATGGCTAACTGCCTTTGTGGTTGGAATATTAATTTTAGGAGATTGCATCTATGAAATAATTGTCGCTTGCTAATAAATTCTCTTTAACTTCATCTTAATATGATATCTGTCTTTTCTTGCTTCAGGCTGCTCTGGGGGTGGTGTATAAAACTGAATGGTAGTATGTATAAAACTGAAAGGGCTTTCATAATTGGGTAGCAGGCTTGAAGTTTTGGACTTCAGAAATGCAAACTTCAACAAGCTTAGGTCAGTAGTAGGGAATGTGCTGAAGGGTCAGGGACCAAAGGCAAAAGGAGTGCATGAAGAGCAATCGTTTCCTAAAGGACTCGATCCTTGAAGCACAAAGGAAGTCCATTCCCATGTGGAGGAAATGTAGCAAAAGGGCTGGGAAACCCTCTTGGCTAAACAGGGAAATCATGGTCCTCCTAAAAGAGAAGAAAGAGGCGTATAGTCAATGGATGCTAGGGACAGCCCCAAAATGAGGACTATATAACTATGGCCTGCACTTGTAGGGATCAGATTAGAAATGCTAAGGCGGCGACTGAATTAAAGTTAGCAACGGGAATCAAGGACAACAAGAAGTCCTCTGTTAGGTACGTAGGGAATGGGAGGAAAACAAATAAGAGCGTGGGGCCATTGCTCAACAACTTAAGACAGCTAGTCACTAGCACTCAGGAGAAAACTGAACCCCTGAATGACTACTTTGCTTTGGTTTTCTACCAGGCTGAGGGAAAAATCATGCCAGCTATGGTACAGAATGAGCAGGGTTCAAATGTCCACTTTCCTACTATTGCTGTAGAAATGGTGTGACCAGTTAAAGAAAGTGGACGCATATAAGTCAGCAGGTCTGGATGAACTTCATCCGAGAATGCTGAAGGAGCTGGCCGAAGTCGTTGTGAAACTCCTGGTGAAGCTCTTCCAAAACATGTGGCGCTCTGGGGAGATCACTGAGGACTAAAAGGAGGGCCAATGTTGTGCCAGTCTTCAAGAAGGGGAGGAGGGAGGACGTGGGTAACTATAGACCAATTAGCCTGACTTCTATCCCAGGGAAAATCCTGGAAAAATTCATTAAGGAGTCTATATGAGAGAGACTTGCAGAAGGTAGGATTCTGAACAACAGCTAGCATGGCTTCGTTGCAGGCAGACCTTGTCTTACCAACTTCATCTCCTTTTATGATCAGGTGACTCATCACCTGGGTAAGAGACAGGAGGTTGACATTATATACCTTGACTTCCAAAAAGCTTTCAATCTGGTATTCCACGATGTTCTCGTGAGAAAATTGGAAGACTGTGGGCTTAACTGTGAGACAGTCAGGTGGGTAGGAAACTGGCTGCGGGGCAGGACCCAGAGAGTTCTAATGAACAGATGGGTGTCATCTTGGCAGGAAGTGGCCAGTTGTGTCCCACAGGGGCTGGTGCTTGGTCCAGTGCTATTCAACATCTTCATCAGTGATTTGGATGTGGGCGTGACGAGCTCACTGGCCGAGTTTGCGGACGACACCAAGCTAAGGGGAAGTGTGGTCACACTTGAAGATAGGTTACAGATACAGGCAGATCTAGACAGGCTTGGAAGTTGGGTAGACCGGAGCCAGATTAAGCTCAATGTCGAGAAATGTAAAGTGCTCCACCTGGGGATGAACAATCACCTGCACACCTACAGGCGTGGCAATGCCAACCTGACCAGCACTATGAATGGAAGGGACCTGGGGGGAATAATTAACCCACACTTGAAGATAGGTTACAGATACAGGCAGATCTAGACAGGCTTGGAAGTTGGGTAGACCGGAGCCAGATTAAGCTCAATGTCGAGAAATGTAAAGTGCTCCACCTGGGGATGAACAATCACCTGCACACCTACAGGCGTGGCAATGCCAACCTGACCAGCACTATGAATGGAAGGGACCTGGGGGTAATAATTAACCCCAATATGAACCTGAGCTGGCAGTGTGATGCTGTAGCCAGCAGGGCCAACAATCCCCTGGCATTCATTCATCGATGCATCTCCAGCAAAACCAAAGAAGTGATTCTCCCACTCTATTTGGCATTGATGAGACTGCAGCTGGAGTACTGTGTCCAGTTCTAGATACCACACTTTTTAACAAGGATGTGGTAAAGCTTGAGAGAGTACAGAGAAGGGCCACCCGTACAATCAGAGACTTGCATAGCAAGCCAGGTGAGAAAAGACTGCGGGATCTTCAACCTGAAAAAGAGAAGGCTGAGAGGGGACTTGGTAGCAGCTTACTGCTACATTAGAGGCGTACATCAAGGGCTTGGTGAACAGTGGTTCACCAGGGCATCCTCGGGGAAAACTAGGAGTAATGGTCACAAGAGCCTGAAATGGTTTTCCAGGAGTAACATTAGGAAAAACTGCTTCACAACTAGGGTGTCCAGACTGTGGAATAAGCTTCCTCCAGAGGTGGTGCAATTGCCTACCCTGGAAATCTTCAAGAGGAGACTGGACGTGTACCTTGCTGGGGTCACCTGACCCCAGTTGTCTTTCCTGTTTGGTGCGGGGGGCTCGATGCGATGAGCTTCCAAAGTGCCTTCCAGCATACATTCTAGGAATCTATAAGCAAGGGAGTATTTACAAAGGAAAGTCAAGTGTAGGACTGAATTGAGGATGATGATGATTTTCTTCTTGAATTACCTGAAGTCCTATACATTCTGTGCTGAACGTGTATATGCTAAAATGCAAATTATAATTGAACAATTGAGAGACTTATGTAGTGAGAGGTTTATCAATGTTAACATCTCTTTTGATCATAAATTTTGAACAGGGAAAATGTTCAGGGACTGACAATTATGTCAAATATAAACAATTAAAAACACCTCACAATCTGTTTATAAAATTTAATAAAGAAGTTAAGCCCTAGTGCATAAGTAGGATAAACAGCAAGCAGAACTATTAAGGCATTGTTCTCTTGGAATTATGATAAAAGTAAAATATCTGATGCTTCAGTCTTTTGGAAAGAAATAAATGAATAAAGCAATTCAAATTCTGACCAATCTGTGGCCTTATGATATGTTGTTTCCTGTTCATTTACAAGTTAGAAAGTCTAACAAGACCTGTCCTGTTTGAAAGATTACTTCAGTCTTCAAGACTGAATAAAACTATTGTTGAGAAAATTCCTGTGATGACTACATTTGGTCTCACAAATTAATTATTTTCTAATAGGACTAACATATCCTAAAAATAAATATCAATTGTTTGAAAATAAATGGTGATATTAATATTTCACTTGATATCAAGCAATAGGACAGACTGTTAATTGCAGACTCTGACTCTTGAAGCAAACCTTAAGTTGATGCAATTGAAAATACCTGGAAGAAATTTTCAGGCATTCTGGTAAAATAGTATGTTGGAGGTATGAAAGATCTGGAGAAAATTTAATACATATTTCAGTGGCTTGCTGAAGTGGGGAAATTTGTGGTTTGTGGACATTTAATTTTTTTTGGTTTTGTTGATTGTGAGGAACAGGGCATTCACTATATTATTATAAAATAAGGTAAGAATGTGAAGCAAAATAGAATTTAATACTATAATATCTTGACTAGGGGTGAAAATGGCTTTGGGATGGGGATGAGAGCATGAGGTTGAGATCAAAGGCATATCTTCTTTACTTTTGTGTTTTAATTTGTTACCTCCTACCAAGAGTAAAATCCCATACTAGAAAGCTATGTAGTGATTTTTAGCAGGAAAATGAAGCATAAATATTAGTAATTAAAAAGACCCCAACAGGTTATCTAGCTTACAGTACATTTAGAATTGAACCATAACAGTTAATTTAGTAGTAAGATGCATAGCATCTTATTAGTTACACTTTGTTCTGGCTTAATCCTTTAACTGATTTTGCTATGACAATCTTTTATGTTGTGGTGGTTAAAGGATGATCTCTGGTTTGCATGATTAATACTTACTATCTCTCTTAATAACTCTTATTTGATAGTAAATATTAAAGTAGTCGTTTGTTTGGAAGAAAGATTTTAGCAGTAAATGGCAGGGCACACAGTATTCAATTTATAATTTTATTTCTCTTTGAGGAGTGATGTGGTTATTCTGCTACAATTTTTATGCATTGTTCCTTGGTGTGTTACAACATATCTCTTTGCAAAGGCATCTTTACTGAAGTAATGTTTATAAAGTCCATTTTTAAAAAAATTATATAAAATATGAATTTGATGCGAATGAACCCTGGCTCTTTGTAGCCTAATGGAATATTAGTGTTGCTTGTTTGAATTCAAACTGCGTAATTAGACTACTTGTACCAAATCATTCATTATTCATTTTATACATATGCTGAATATTCAAGAAGCAATTCCATTAGTTAATTATCTCTTAATGGCCTTGAGGGATTTTTTTTTTGTTAAGATTAATAAATAACTGGATGTTTTATCTTGTACTTTTTATATACAGTAGTATGTGTTTACATACCACAATTAAATGGAGACCTGAAGATGTTTTGAGTGAGGAGTAGCAATACACTCTACAAAAAAGGGAACAATGTTGCTATGAGTAGTTACCTTGTAGAAGAATGGCATGCCTCTCTATTTGCTTTGGCACCTGGAGTTGATTTTTTTTTTAAAGTAGCACAAATACTATTTCTCTTGGATAGATTTTGAGGCATTGGATATGTTTTTGAATATAACAATAGCTCCCTCCCAGCCTGGATATGTTTTTGAATGCTGGGTCTTCAGTAATAAATCCAACTTAAAATCTTTTTTTTTTTTTAAAGTGTTTCAGAATAACAGAGTCCAGCATATTGGACCTATTTGGTTTAAGATCTTAAGAACAACTTACTGTATTTAGCTGAAGTCAAGACTACTTGAGTTCTTAAAATGACCTCACAATAATTGGATTTGTAGAAAATTACAAATTTGCTATAATTTTCCATGTATAGAATATAATTATTGGAGGGCTGACTTTTAAATTAATTTTCCCCCTGCTGTGGTGGGGAAAGTAGTAGCAAGGTGAGGCAAATGGCTGGAAAAGCAATGCCAGGGAGGGGTAGGTGTTGGGGAGGTAAGTGGCAGGCTGATCCCAGCCCCTTGCTCCTCTGTTGGTGCTTCATGTCCCTCCCCTGTCACTTGCCTTTTGGGGCAGGAGAGTGACTTCCCCCCCCACCCCCGTCACTTTCCTCCCCCCTGCCTCCACCCAGTTCCCAGACCACCCACCACAACTGCTGCTGACTCCAGGTGGCAGCACCAGTTTACAGTGACTTTGGCTCAGGTCAGGGTCAGGGCTGGAGCTCCAGCAGTCACCTTCTCCAGGCTAGTACTCCAATCCAAAATAAGACTTTTTCTCTCCTGCATTGAATAGCTTTCAATAAATATGGTGGGAAGCAACCTGTTTTTGTTTTTGATAATTATATTTGAAAAGATTTTATAGGGTGAAGGTCCAACCTGAACTTTATAAAAATATTAATTGTTCAAAACTTTTTCAGGGTTACCTTCCTGCAAATGTGGATAGAAGAGAAGGCACTTTACAGAGAAAAAGGAAAGAATATTTTGCTTTTGTTCAACAATATTATGACTCAAGAAATGATGAAAATCACCAAGACACATACAGACAGGTAAGCAGTTATTGAAATGAGCTTCTGTGAAATCTTTATTTTAAAACTTCTCTGAAAAGGAGTCTCTTTGGTGTGCTTCATTTTTTTTATATTACTTTATTACTACTTCATAATGAGGCAACATATTTTGATAATGGAACTAGTCTCAAGTTGCAGCAAAGGAAATTTAGGTGTCATAGTTTCATAGTTTCTAGGGTCGGAAGGGACCTGAACAGATCATTAAGTCTGACCCTCTGCCCTGGGCAGGAACGAGTATTGGGATCATAATACCCCAGTCTCCTCTTGAAGACCCCCAAGGTAGGGGAGAGCACCACCTCCCTTGGGAGCCCATTCCAGAGCCTGGCAGCCCTAACTGTAAAGTAATGCCTCCTGATAGCAAGCCTGAACCTGCTCTCAATCAATTTGTGGCTGTTATTCCTTGTTATCCCAGGTGGTGCCTGGGGGAACAGAGCCTCACCTATTTTCTGCTGGTCCTCCCTAGTGAGTTTGTAGATGGCCACCAGATCCCTCTCAGTCTTCTCTTGTGGAGGCTGAATAGATTCAGGCCCTTTAGTCTGTCTTTGTAGGGCCTGTCTTGCTGCCCCCAGACCATGCAAGTGGTCCTCCTCTGGACCCTCTCGAGGTTAGCCACATCCCTCTTGAAGTGCGGTGCCTAGCACTGGATGCAGTACTCCAACTGCGAGCTGACCAGCACCGCATAGTGGGGAAGAATCACCTTCCTGGATCCGCTTGTGATGCATCTGTAGATGCACAACAAGGCGCGGTTAGCCTTACTGACCGCTTCCTCGAATTGGCGGCTCATGTTCATCCTGGAGTCAGCAATGACTCCAAGATCACTTTCTGCCACCGGGTTGACAAGAAGGGTGTTCCCCACCCTATAGGTGTGTTGCTGGTTCCTTCTCCCTAGATGCAGCACCTTGCACTTGTCTGCATTGAATTCCATTCTATTCTCATCCGCCCACCTCTGTAACCTGTCCAGATCTAGTTGGATTCTGTCCCTCCCCTCCAGTGTGCCCACCTCACTCCACATCTTTGTGTCCTCAGCGAATTTGGACAGCGTGCTTTCCATGCCCACCTCCAAGTCACTGATAAAGATGTTGAATAGTACAGGCCTGAGGACGAGCCCTGGGGAACTCCATTGCCCACATCCCTCCAGGTCGAAAACGACCTGTCCACCACCACTCTGGGTGTGAGCATCGAGCCAATTTGCCACCCATCTGACTGTGTGTAGGCATCAATACTGCAGTCGCCTAGTTTTTTTTTATGAGCATGGGGTGAGAAACAGCGTCAAAGGCCTTCTTGAAGTCCAGGTAGATGACATCCATCTCAACGCTTTAACCCAAGGACTTTGTGACCTGGTTGTAAAAGGAAACAAGGTTAGTCAGGCAGGATCTGCCTGCAAGGAACAGATTGGTTGCCCCTGAGCATTACCTCCCATGCTGGGCCCCCGCAGATGTGTTCCTTGATAATTTTCTCAAAGGTCTTCCCAAGGACTGAGGTGAGACTAACTGGCCTATAGTTAGCTGGGTCCTCCTTTCTCCCCTTCTTGTAAATGGGGACCACATTTGCCCTTTTCCAGTCCTCTGGGACCTGGCCAGAGCACCACGAGTACTCATACAGCCGTGCTGGGGTGCTGCTATGACCTTTGCCATCAGTACCCTTGGATGAAGAGCATCCGGACGTGCTGATTTTATACACGTCCAGCTGCTCCAAGAGTTCCCTAACTAGATCATCCCTTACCCTACACATGGCATTGTGTCTCCTGAGCCTGTCCATAATCCTAGTGGGGGAGTTGTCCCGCTCCCTGCTGAAAAATATGGAGGCAAAGAACTTGTTGAAGAGATCAGCTTTTTCCTTTGCTGCAATCACCAGATTGCCAAGACTGTCCTGTAGGGGCCCCAGGTTACCTGGTGCCGCCTTCTTACTCCCTATGCATTTGAAAAAGGACTTTTGGTTATCCTTAAGCCCTAGTTCCATCTCTGCCTTGGCCTTCTTGGCTAGATTTTAGGAAAAACTTTCTCACTAGGGGGGTAGTAAAGCACTAGAACAGATTACCCAGAGGTGGTGGACCGGGCACCAGTTGCAGCAAGGGCCAGGTTCAATTTTGGGTTACTAAATATATTTTTCCTTGCCTTAAGCCCCCACCCAGACCACTGGGGAAACATTAAATGAATTACTAAGGTGTCCCACATGAGCAAAAACCCTCTTCTCACTAGCAGTGTAAAAACAAATGCTCAAATTTATTACAGAAAATAAAACAAAAGAAAAGAAAACATTTAAATATAATTTTAAAACACTATCCACTATAAAGCAAAGTCTGTGATGGCACCTTCTTGAGGAGGCTTTACTCATGCCCATTCAGTCTGGGGCTTGGGGTTCCCCAGATTGTAGTTCTGGGGATCTGCACCCTGATACCAGCAGAAGGGGAGGGCACACGCCAGAGTCCTATGAGTGCGGGTTTACCGTGCCGCAGGTAACTTCTCAAGAGTGTTGGTCTTTCTGCATTGCAAGAGGCTCTGTTGCTCCTGGAGAAGTGGTAGAGTGCCGACTTCCACTTCTGTAAGGTGCCTTTGAGGGGTTAACTTTTTTGTTAGCATACCGCACCCCAAAATTCCTAGTCCCAATCCCAGCTCTTCTGGATAGAAAAATGCAAAAGAGCTTGGAGGAAAGGTCAGGCCTAGCTTGGCTTGGGCCTGAACTACATCTAGTGCCCAACCACGGCTTGGTTGGGACATAAACTACAAAAAGGACAAAAGGAGGCCCTGGCCCATCTTGCTTGACCTGAACTGGGCAGCAAAAAGCTGGCTAGGTCTGTACTGCACTGAGGCTTGGATAAACAAGAAATTGCGCCACGTCTCACCCTGGCTTAAATCATGCCAGGTTTCACCCTGGCCCAAATCTGCCAAATGTACCGCTAGGGCTCAGCCACACAGCTAAACTGAAATGTAGTAGCTGTGAAACAGCAAAAAGGGCCTAGGCCTACGGCTGTAGCAGCCTGGACATCCAGTCTCAGCTATACCAAAACATTGAGACAATACAATCCCCAAACACAGGGGCCAGTAACTGCTGGACCCATTCCTGGGCAGTTTGCACCAGGGATTAATACCCCTATGGCATTTAACCCACTTAAGGAAAAAAAAAAAAAAGGGGGTGGGGTGGGGAAAGAGGGAGGAAATAGCAGTCTCAAACTCTGAGGCAGACTTTTTCTCTTTGTACCTAAGGCTTTTCCATCCCATGGCTTTTGCTTGCCTCTCCAGTGAAGTGGGGGAGGAGGGGGAAACTTTCCATAAGTAGGTTTTCTGGCTCCTAATTCAGCGATGCAGCTCTCAGCAGCCCCAGGAGAGAGAGTTAGAAATTTTAGTTAAATTGTTCTTGATATATCTTGCATGACATCACCCAAGCCATGTCCAATTAGAGAGTGCCATGCTCTCTCACTCATCTGCCTAGAGGATCTTCTGCTTCCTCTGGCCACTGAGGCCAGAGGGTTTTACAAAGTTTGCCCAGATGTAGGTCCCAGCTTGCCATGTGCTGAGCACATGGCCAGAACAACAGGGCCATCTTGTTCACAAAAAACACACACACGCACACAAAAACACAATCTATGACCCTGTGTGGGTGGGTGGGTGTTACATAGACAATTGGAGATTATATTTTGATAAAACTTAATTTTAAATGTATACTTGCAGTAGTATAGACTTCATGATTTAATGTCTTTCTTTACTGTTAGCAAAGGAGTGAAGTAATTCAGTACTATTGCAGGTGTGTGGAAAGGTGGAAATACCTTCATATTCTACTGGCCACCCTGCTGCTGCAAGACATTACTCTTCACCAGGAGAGAAAATAATATTATTTATTGTTTGTTTATACCAGTGAGGGCTAGCCTTTTTGGCAGGGGTGTCACAAATTAGCTTTGTACTGTCCCTGATTGCTACTCCAGTCACCTTCCTCTGATTTCTCTGCTGCTCTGATTTTTTGCTTCCTGCCCCATGCTCCATACGTAATCAGTTGCGCTGCTTTTTGCTTCCTCCCCTATCTGCTCTTGTGCTGCCTGTCCTCTCCTTAATCTGCTATGTGCTATGCAGAAGCTGCCTATGTCACTGGTGGCACTCATATGGGAGGTTGTGGCCACCTTACATTAACAGTGGGGAAGCTGTAATTTAAAATTTCTACTTTCCTCAAATTTTTTAATTCTGAAACTGAAGAGCAGTTTACTATTTCTAAATGAAAACATCAATTCCTACTTGCGTTTACACTTCTTCTTAGACTATTTCTCTAAAGATTAAGCCATCAATGATAGCTTCCCTCAGGTGCTACTACTAGCAAGATACAAAATTAGAGAAGTTCTTCTTTCCTCATTAGTTCAGGCATTGCACTTTCATATTAATTCTATAGTGTAACTGTTGTTAATGTTACTTTATTAGAACCAGGAAGTATGTTTTCCACTATTACTAAAGTCGATATTTGGAATCTGACAAATAAGACTACAATTTACAAGCCTTCTTAGTGTCATATAACATTCTGGGCAGTAAAAAGAAACTGTTACCCTATTTTGGCCTTTCATAATTTCTGAATTACTTCAAAATGTACGTAGGGCCTGATACTGAGAATTCAATGTCATTCCTATAACATCTAGCTTTTAGGACAAAACTGGAAATGTTTTATAGTCGGAATCTAAATGGTAGCTCAAAATATATGCTTATTTTAACCATTACTTCAGTAGAAGAAATAAAAATTAAAGAATGTTAGTATGTATTTTTTGAAGTGTATTTGTTTTTCCTAAAAAAAAAAAAAAAAAAAAAGCAAGCTTTTTTTTTTGTTCTTTCCAATTAGATTCATATAGATATTCCCCGCATGAGTCCTGAAGTTTTAAGGCTTCAAGCTAAAGTAACTGAGGTAAGAATCATTGCCCAATAACTTTTAGTTTTCAAATAATTAGATTAGAAATCAGTTGTCCTTCTGGGAGTGTTTACTACTAATGACTTTATTGATGCTTCAGCCATCTTGGCTTAAGATCAATTTTTGAAAAGTAAATAATCAAGGTAAAGACTTGAAATGGTTACAACTTAAACACAGTAGTAAAACAGATTAAAATACTAAAGAAAGATTAAAATGATGAATGATCTCTTGTGGATTAAAGCTCCATTACTTGAGGTGTTCCTTCTGATTTTTTAAAAAAAATATTTTCAGACATTTTGTCCCATTTTGTTATGACTCTTTCTGTGTAATTTACTCTTCCTCTGTGTTTATTTAATGCTGGTAGATATTTATCTAAAGCGTGTCAAGTCTGAATATTTGAAGTGCAAGCACAAAAAATACATTATTGGTGACAGTATAAAATTATTTTTTTCTGGCTCTTTTTTGGATTCTTTCCTATGTATTTCCCTACCGACTTTGTCATCTTTTTTGGTCCTAAACATCTACTAATAAAAGTCAATTGGTTCATTTTTCTTTTTCTGGTTAGTTTCTATTTTGGCTTGTTTTAATTCTTAGTGACTTGTGCTTAAAATGCATGATTAAATATATATGTCAGGTAAAATAATATAATTTGAAATCTAAAAATAAGTGTATAGATTAAGGGCGCAGACAGAAGTGCAGTTGTCTGCTGTAACTCAGAATGCTTTACAGGAAGCATTCTGAGCTGCAGTGATCCCCGGACCAAACAGAAATTCACTGTTGGCTCTAGGGGGGTGGGGAAATTAGCTGCTGGCCCCAAGCCCATAGCAATAATGACCCCTCCTCCCTCCCAGCCTGTCCCTGTCTTCAGAATTGGGTAGGGACTAGAGGGAGCTCGTTCTAGGGGTTCCTCAACTGGCACAGGGTGGTGGGGTGGATGAATTGGAGCCCCATCTCCAATACGCACATCCTACCCTCCAGAGGGGGCTGAAAACCCCGCAGACCAAACTTCCTCCACACCCCTCCCCCCTCCCATTCTGAAAACAGAGACAGGCTGGGAGGCAGCGCAGATGCAAGTTAAAGAAGATGCTGTGCTTTGAAAAGTCTTCACTTGAACCCTCCTGCAATGAGAGTTTAGATATTTCCCCAACCAGCCGTTTTTTAGCGGTGTGCAGCCATGTGCTTGTGTTCAGTCACAGCTATGGATTGCTTTCTGTGACCAGGTGAAAATTGTCACTTTTGTCTATGCCCTTAGTCTGCTCACTTAGAAATTTTATAGCATGTAAGACTTTTACATCTTGGTCGTCATGTTTATCATCTAATTCTTTGTTGGAATTTGTAATTAATAAATGCTGTTATCATTGTGGATTATAAAAGTTCCTTTATATTAAAGTATTGTAATGGTGGGATGGATTACACAGGTAGTTGTGATGTCTGAGGGAAGTGAAAATCTGTAAAAACAAAAGACTTTTAAAGTTGGTTGAGAAAGTCATTGTGCTTGAGAAGAATGACTGCCTACTGCTAAGAGATCCCTGTGATGTCTTTCGATTTTTAATTTTTTCAACGGACAGAAAATGCCAATGTGTCCATTTACGTAATAGATTGTAACAATATAACTACTCTGTTACCAGAGATATCCGTCTTGCGGTAATATAGCTAGAGACATTAGTGTTAAAAGGATATTGATAATTAATCAAGATAAGTGCATTTATGTGGTTGAAATTTTCCAACATTAAAATGCACATTCATTTTTTAAATATGCACATTATATGTGAAGGGACAATGGGCTGTAATATGTTTGTGGTAGGTTGAGTTATAAAAAGGCCACCAAGCATTTTTTCGCATTATCTTCTTAAAATGTCCAAGGAATTTATATGTGAATTTGCATAGTAAATTATTGCAAATAAAAGATTGTTCTTAGGCTATTGTTTGTTACCAGTCATAGTCTTGAGAGTATTTTTATAGCTGAATTATAACCTCTGCAATCAGGCTGGTATAAGAATAATAATAATAATAATAATAAAAAAAATGCTGACAGTCAGTTTCAGCACTACTAGGTTCTGCCAAATAAAACATTGTATAATTATTGTTTAATAGAAATTAGCATAAATAGGAGATACTGCATTTGGGTTCAGGTCTTTACAACTGTTGATTAATTCACTTTTTCCAGCTAGTTTATGAAGATCATGTATGCCAATCAAACTTTACAAGCTTTAGTTATGCAGCAATGACTCAATGTTAAACAATTTCAGATTACTTTTGAGTATTTGTTAAAAAGAGCAGTGTTATTTATGGACTGCCCCTTTTAGTGTCCTTTGTCCAATAATTTTAGTTCTAATTAGTAAATTAATATAAGTTCAATTTAATGTCCTGTTACTGATACCTTTTTTCAATGATTTATTTAGTAAATCGGTGTCACTTTAAATTTTCTAATAACTGTTTAAAACGGGGGCGGGCAATTATTTCAGGCAGAGGGCTGCTTGATGAATTTTGGTGAGCTGTCGCCCTGCCCCGCCTTGCCCCCTGGTCGCCATCTTGGGACTGGAAGTCCCACCCCCTACCCCTGACCTTTGCCACTGGAAGTCCCTCCCTTTGCCCCTGGAAGTACTCCTTTTGGAGAGGTGGCCTTGGAACCGAAAGTTACACCCTGTCATATATGGTCTGTGTCATAAAGCCCCACCCACCCAACATCAAACTGCCCCACTCACCATAGCTGTCCCAGAATCTTCTGCCCTCATCACATGATCCCTGACATCAGAAGATGTGCCCCTTGACTGGGCAACACTGCCCAACACTAGGGCCCACCCTCACAGTGCGTGGCCTGCTCCTGGGGCCCAAAGAGTTCTGCCCTATGGGCCACGAGGCACAGGCACAACTTGCAAGGTAGCAAGGGGTTGTGACCCCTCTAACATCCTGCCCCAGCAGTGGGGTTTCAGGGGCATCATACCTCTCCCAGCACAGAGCCAAACCAATTGAGTCAAGGACTGTACACAAAATCTTTCAGTACAAATCATTTTAACAAAGTATAGATAAAGTATCATATACTAAAAATGTGCCAGTAACCGCACTAGGTGCAGGTGTGCCAGTAACTGCCTTAGGAGCACTGGGCCTATGTACCTACCAGGGTCCAGCCCACCCCAAGCTGTCCATGGCTCCAATGGCAAGCAGTTCCTAACTACATGGCCCAGACCTGCATAGCACAGCAAGGAGCCAGCCCTGCCTGTACTTTTCTGGCTGCAGCAGGCAGTTGCCAGCTGTAAGCCTGGACCTGCATGTGGGGCAAGGAGCCAGCCAGGGCCAACCTGGCAGCACCTGGTTCCCAGCTACAAGGTCAGGACCTCATGGCCAGACCTATTCCCTCCCAGCAAGGGCTCCTAGCTGCAAGGCAGGGTCTGGCACCCCACAGTGCAGCAGAAACCAGCCCAGCCTGCCCTTCCCCTCACCTGCAGGGCAGGACCTGGCCTGGACCTGCATGTGGGGCAAGGAGCCAGCCAGGGCCAACCTGGCAGCACCTGGTTCCCAGCTACAAGGTCAGGACCTCATGGCCAGACCTATTCCCTCCCAGCAAGGGCTCCTAGCTGCAAGGCAGGGTCTGGCACCCCACAGTGCAGCAGAAACCAGCCCAGCCTGCCCTTCCCCTCACCTGCAGGGCAGGACCTGGCTCAGCCCCTCCTTACCTGCAGGACAGCAGAATGTAGCCCAGCTTCCCGTCCCCTGACCAGTACTGTTCACCAGACCCCTCCCACAAGCAAGGACCCAGCCCACCCCATCATGCCCCAGGCATCAAAAGCTGGCCAACCCCCCCACCCATCACTAGTGCCAGCATGACCTGGTCCTGACTTATCCCAACCCCTGCCTTCCTTGTGGCACAGCAGAAGCCAGCCCAGGTCCAGGTCCCCTCACCAGCACAGCCCCCTCCAGTGCTGTAGGCCTCCTCCTGTCCCAAGCCGCAGGGGGCTCAGCCATAGCTTTCCTTCCCTGGTGAGGCCCATCTGGCCCATCCTGTCCCTTATCAAGTGGCGGCTTCCCCATGTGCTGCTGCACTTTCCCCCTACCTGTGCCAGCTGGTCCCAGAAGGCTGGAGGCTCCACCGCTGCGTCTGCTGGCCAGTGCTGACCCAGCTGGGCTCGCCCCTTCCCCAGCAGCACCTGGGGAAGCTGGCTTCAGCCGCATGCTGCTCTGGATGGGACGGGCCCAGCTGGGTTGGCACTGGCCAGGAAAAGTGGCATGCAGCTGAAACCGGTTTTCCATGTGCTGCTGGGGACTGGATGAGCCCGGCCAGAGCGGCAGGGGCTCAGCTGTACTTTTCCCCCTACCTGTGCTGGTCAGTCTCGAGTGGCATACAGCTCTGCTGCCACTTCTGCTGGCTGGTTCCGACCCAGCCGGATTTGTCCCATCCCCAGCGGCACGTGAGAAGCCGGCTTCATGGGATGGGATGGGCTCAGAGCTGGGTCGGCACCGGCCAGGAAAAGTGGCATGCAGCTGAAGCCGGCTTCCCACGTGCTGCTGGGAATGGGATGAACCTGGCCAGGTTGGCACTGGCCAGCAGAAATGGCGGTGGAGCCATGTGCTGCTTGGGACTGACCCATGCAGGCAGGGAGAAAGTGCAGCTGAGCCCCTGCCGCTCCGACCGGGCTTGTCCCGTCCCGAGCGGCACACAACTCCGCCGCCACCTCTCCTCCCTGGTGCTGATTGGGTCAGAGCTGTGGCCTAGCTGCTGCTTCCCCTCCCCAGTGCCGGCCCAGCCCGACCCTGCACAGCCCGAGTGGGATGGCACAGGGAAAGCCTGCCCAGCAGCTGCTTTCCTGGGTTTACCTGCAGGGCAGGGCCCTTTCCAGTCCTGTGCAGGAGGCAGAAGCTGGCCCAGACCCTCCTTCCCCTCACTGGCGCCACCGGTTTTGGCTCGGCCCCCCTGCCCCTCTCAAGCTGCAAACGTGGCCTGAGCCAGGGTGGGGTGAAGCCAGCAGGGTCAGGCTGAGGTCCAGGTTGGTTACCTCGCA